TCTGGATATAACAAATAAAGAACAAATCGTGCATACCCTACGAAGTGTCCAATATGGTCAATGTTTTCTGAACCTACCTGCTTATACAACCTATCTAATCAAAGCAAACTACAAAATGGTGTGGGCGAATTATTATTCAGTAGTCTGAACTTGGGACTTCATTTGTTAACACCCTTGTTCAAGGCAAACAACAATTAACATTTAAGTGATTTCAATAATCAGATAAGTGAGCATGTTTTCTTAATGTGGTATAGCATACCTCCCACCCTAACTGCAGTTCACGTCACTGCTTTCATAAAATGCAATGCAGAACTAATCTTCTTCAACAAGGATAAAGATCAATAGGTGAGCATAATGAAAGTTGGTAGAGTAAGAACTGACACAACCTACCTTACAGCACAGCCAAGTTAAGACCTTGGAATCATCTAGCCTGAAGAACTTCATATTAGCAACTTCTGCAGTAAAGATAACATCAAACGAAATGATTCTGTAAGAACTATTGGATATGTTCTCATAGTATGCAAGTACGGAAATAAGTGGTGCCAAAAACAACAAAAAATGGTAAAGTTATTGTGTCTGGCAGTACAACCGGTAGGAAACCACCATCCAAGAAAAAGAAAACAAGATCGCATGTATGAACTGTCTAATGTAGTAATGGTGTTGTTTCGAACACAAGCAGTAGCAAAGTGGTCAAAGGGAACAACTGTCAGGTTGCAACTTGCAAGGGAGTACTAGTAATTAACAATGTCACAGCAACTTCATATAGTTGTAATTGTACATTGAATGTATATTCCAAAGACCTACCTTTAACTTCACAAACCAGTTCCACATGCTTTCCTGCTATACTCATGAGGTGCTGATATCCAGGATAACCTTCGATGTATAAAATTTCATCCAGCTGTCTGAATTTTCCTAGATCCTTACCGTTCTGCAACACAGGGGAAGGAATTGCTTTTAAATTGAAAAAAAAAAGTTGATGAAATAAGAATCATGTACCATAAAATTTATCTTTGACCACACATACCGACATACGTGCAGCTTCGAGAAGTGGTAGAAGAATGAAGATGGGGTCAACAAGTGTGCAATAGTAAACGCTACCATCTGTAGGAAGGAAAGCAGGATTCAACAGCAAAACTAGGTACTGAAATTAACGGCAGAAGCAAAGTAGATTTATGTTGATGTGTTCTACATGATATACAAAATAGAGAATGAGAAGAACATCATCATTCCTTTATATTATCATGTTCCTTAAAACTAAGCCGATACTGATTTTCTTGGGTTATAAATTTGAACTGGCAGGTTTGCTGAGGCAAGGTAACAAACCATATATGCTGCCTATACGAAACGACAATAAGATATGGGCTTCACCCCTAAGGAAAGTAAATCAAGTTTTGCAGAGCAATGGCAAAACTGCATGGCTGGTTTATGCTTCTACCATACCTTCACAGACATAATCTCCCAAGAACCAAGAACCATAACGCTCCTTAAACCAATTGAACTCATGAAGTTGGCCATCAGTGAACAGATACTGTGTTTCTTCTTCTGTTTGATGATAAGGAAGAGTCAATGCAAGCTGTTGGTTTATCTTTAAAGGATCTTCTACAACAGAACTACTCTAAAATGGCAATAGACCCATCACAAGCCACAAGCATCATCATGTATTTTTCTATGTCCTCGGCGATCAGAAACTTATACTGAGGTAAGTAAGCTTGGGCACCTAGTTTCGGATGGCGAAGTAATAGAATATTCCCTTGACCATTGGCGCCAGAAGGGCCTGCAAAGAAACACAATGGAGTCTGATTATAAATATGGGTCCCCCACCACAAATCGGATGCTAGAGGCGATCACCAGCTAGCGGACTTATTACATCCTGTTGTCCTTTCAACCAGGCCACGCAAACTAACAGAGCTTAAAACAGAATACACCATATAACAGTGGAAGCAGTGCTAGAAATGTTGAGGGGATTGCAGGAACTCACGGGGAGCAACAAGGACACGGGGCGGCAACGCCATGTTCTCACACCACAACGCCATCAGCGGTGGTCGTTGGCCCCTTCAGCTTTGTTACTGGTGGCACGGTTTGGGTTCTGGTTCTACTGCATCATTCAGATTAATCCAAAAAGGAACTAATTACATAAGACTGCATTGATCTGTACAACAATAACAACAAAAACAGAGAAGGGTCACCCAAGCATAAAGAAGTCACCAATTTCAGTTCGCTGGTTCCACGCGCAGATCACGCGGCAGCGTTGGTGGCGCCGGGCACCGGGGTGCGCAGGGATTAGGGAATGGGGCAAGGAACAAGTCAGCGGTGGAACGCGTACCTGAGGAGGGCCGGGGAGGTCGCCGGGGGTACTGCCTCTCCGACTCCGAGTTCTTCGCCCCTGCGTCGCGCCGGCAGGAGAGACGAAAGGGGACGGCGGTAGGGTTACTTTTGGCGCCACGCCGGCCTAGCCTCCCGCGTCTACCCTTTTCAGCGTTGCCCTTGCCCTGCTCTGTGCGCCCATGGGCCTAATTAAGCCCACCTGTCCATAGAAAGCCCTGACGGCCCAGAGTCCAAAAGCACTGGACAGAGTCCAAGCCCACGTTGGCGCTGACTCTCCGGTCCTCTCGAGGATGCCCGCTGGTCGGCGGGGAATTCCCTATTCGCCGCTCTCTGCGGCAAACAGACGCTGCTTCGCACAGGCGATCAGGCGATCGCTCGGTTTTGGGCCGGCCCGTCTGCGCGTTTTCAGCGTTCCCAGCCGGTTTTTTACGGTTTTGGGAACCTTCTAGAAGGTTCCTAAACCGGATTTCTTTCTTTTCTGTTCTTATTTATTTATTTTTTCCTTTTCTCTCCCTGTTTCCTTTTTCTGTTTATTTTCTTTACTTGTTTCTTTTTTCTTTTCATTTTCATTTTCTTTTTCAGATTTCTTTTTCTTTTTCAAAAATGTTTACATTTTACAAGTTTTGTTAAATTTTATAATAAATGTTCGTGTTTTTAAATTTCGTTCATAACTTGCAAAATTTGTTCGCTTTGTTTCAAAAAATGTTCATAATTTCATGAAATGTCCCATTTTAAATATTTCTTCAAAAATTCAAAAAATGTTCGTGGTTTAAAACTTTGTTAAGAATTTCATAATTTGTTCGCAACTTCAAAAAAGTTTCATGTTTTTTAAAATCATTTTCTGCAGTTTCAATTTTTTTGTTCGCCTAGGCAAAAAAAATGTTCCTGTTTTCAAATTTTTGTTCAGAAATTTTATAAATTTTTAGAATTAAAAAAAAGTGTTTGTCTTTTCAAATTTTGTTCATAAACTAAAAAATGTTCGGTTTAAGAGATATGTTTCCGCTTTCAAAATTTGTTCAAAAATTGCCCAGGAATTTAAAAAAATGTTCCCATTTTAGAAAATTGTTCAAAAAAAATTTCAGAAAAATGTGCACACTCTCACTTTTCAGTTTTGAAATTGTTCAGTTTCAAATTTTTGTTCACAAATTTTAAAAAATGTTCGGGCGGTTCAAAACATGTTCCCGTTTTCAAAAAATTGTTCACAATTTTAAAAAGTTGCACGTTTTAATTTTTTCAGGTGTTTCGAAATTGTTCAGTATCAAATTTTTGTTCACAAATTTCAAAAAATGTTCGGGCGATTCAAAACATGTTCCCGCTTTCAAAATTTGTTCACAAATTTGAAAAATGCGCATGTTTTCATTTTTTCAAGAGTTTTGAAATTGTTCAGTTTCAACTTTTTGTTCACAAATTTCAAAAAAAAATGGGCAGTTCAAAAATGTTCTCGTTTCCAGAAATTGTTCGCAATTTTCAAAAATGTGCATGTTTTCATTTTTTCAGGAGATTTGAAAATTGTTCAGTTTAAAATTTTCAGAAATGTTCTTGTTTTCACATTTCTCTTATATGTTCATGTTTTCAATTTCTGCCTTGGAATTTTAAAAAGTTCCCGTTTCAATAAAATGTTCCTGATATTTGCAAACATTTCGTTTTTTTTTTGCAAATCAGCAATTTGCTTGTGTGTCACAGATTCCTTCGTTTTTTTTAATAAAAATGCTTTCGAAATTCAAGATATATATTTTGGACTGCGCTGCGTGTTTGGTTCTTTAAGCTTGGCGCTGCTGAAGAATCATTAACGATTGATAGCTCAACTGGTAGTACTCCCTCCGTCCGAGAATACTTGTCATTAAAATGAATAAAAGGAGATGTATCTAGAACTAAAATACATCTAGATACATCCCCTTTTATCCATTTTGATGACAAATATTTCCGGACGGAGGGAGTACCACTTTTCGTGTAGTGTAAGGTCATGGGTTTGAATCCCTGCAACCATGGTATTTCTTTTTTAGACAGAAGGGAAGCGAACAGAAACACCGAGTTCTCGCTTACTCGCTCGTGAAACAGAAAACGGCCCAACAAGCCCGCCAAGTGGAGGCTCTGTGCGAAACACCAGCAACTTGACGCAAAGAGCGTCATATAGGACCTCCCGGTCGGCGGCTTGGCTTGGTTTGACGGAGCTGGAACTCTCGATGTGGCCATATCCCGCGCTTGGATCGAGCACGGCGCCTCCAGCGATTTGAATCCCGAGCCCACCTTGCCCCGCCCGGGCTACTTCAAAGCTCAAACCCTAACCAGCAAACCCCGACTCGGATGGAGAAATCCGCGGCGCAGTCAGCAGACGAGCGGAACGTCTCCGTGGACAAGGTACCACTTGCTCTTTGGATTTCTATCTCTTTCTCTGTACATACCCAACCTGTACGAGTATGAGGCAATTCTTTCGATCCCTTAGTTAGTTCGGTAAATGGGGCTGCCTTGTACTAGATGGGTTGTTCATTATGCTATGATATCTCTGTTCTTTTTCTTCTGGAAACATCATGCGGTGTTGAATGAGTAAAAATAGGAAGAACTTGTCAAAAAAAAAAAAGGTTACCAGAATGCCTGGGAATGGTCACACTGAATCTTAGTCCATGTTTTTGTTATGCCCTTCGTTCAATGTTCAGTTAAGATTGAATTGATGGCACATGTTATCTTATTTTCAAGCAATGCTATGTGTTCATCTTCTGAAATTTAGTATGCAAAGCTAATGTCTACTCCAGGAAGTAGTGTTAAAACAATTGCCCTTCTTCAGTCATTTCTTCAACTGAACTCTTGCAAGAAGCAGTGTCTTTGCGATTGGATCAGCGGACTGCCCGACGAAATCCTGGTGAGCATCCTAGACAAGTTGGATTCCAAGACTGCAGTTGGCACGAGCCTCCTCTCACGACGATGGAGGCACTTAAGGAGTTTCATAGAATCCTTCTATTTCAGTGAGGTGGTTTTACCAGACAACCATTGCTGGGTACGCCTCGGACCAATGCGGGACTACTTCAACACACATAGAGACCACCATTTTGTTGAGTCCCTCCAGTGGTTCACAAGGCTTAAGAGAGACACACCATTGAGAAGACTGTCCCTTGTGTTCTCAGGCAGTGCAGAGTATAGCGATGTGGTCAACAGCGCCATAGCTTCTGCAGCTCAGCATGGTATCAGCGAAGTTGATATGGCAATTGTTGTAAGGATGGAGTACGAGTTCCCCTGGTGGTTGTTCTCTGGTTACAGAAGCTCACCGCTGACCAGCTTATGCTTAAGTCATTGCAAGCTTTCTGTCCCCCTCGACTTCGGAGGATTCGGTTCCCTCACAAAGCTTGCCCTTGTCCAGATGTATATGAGCCTGAAAGAGGTGCAAGTTCTCCTCAGGTTCTGTACAAACTTAGTGAGTTTACACCTGATTGGCATGTTCGACATCAGAATCCTGCGGCTTCCAAAGCTTAAAGAATTGATATTGTTAATGACTCCATCGTGGGGTAAATTTAAGGTAGACACGCCAGACCTGCAAAGATTGGAGTACTGCGGAGAGATGCTCCCAACATCTACGTTTCAATCTATTCCATGTCTTGAGCATGTTTCCCTGCAATTTACTGATGATATTTATCCAGAATATGACGCGGACAAGTTGGAGGATATCTCTACTTGTTTAACGCATGTCAAGAGCCTTTGCTTGCGGTACCAGATCCCCAAGGTGAGCGCCACTTTCTGGATATTCTCCAACGTAGTGTTGGTGCATCATTTCATCTAACTTATTTTTTTCTGCAGCTAGTCAAACCAAGAACTCCTGCCACCTTTTTAAACCTCAAAGTCCTGACTTTGAACATCGCTACAAAACATTCGGATGATCTTCTTTGGATGTTCATGTTCCTAATTGCTGCACCGTATTTGGCTACACTGAGAACTACTGTAAGATTGGTTTTCCCTCTTGTATTCTGTATGTACTTATTTTAAATAGAAAATGTAGATTGTTCTAGCCTGAACTATTGTGAAAGTTCACTTTCAACCTTGAACTTTGCAACACTTTTTTTTTAACCTGGATCTCTTGAATCAGTTCACTGCAGATCCTCCCACTTTTACACGCCAGCATTTGCCAAAAAATAGGAAGTTTGAGAAATCTAGAAAAAGGAAATTCAAGAGGCCAGGAAAATGATAATTTTAAAATTTTAATTGTTTGAATAAAAAGAGATCTGGAGCGTACTAGTAATATCGGGGATAAGTTTTCTCCAGATTGACTATTGAATCATTTTTTTGTTTGATCATGGGGAAAGTTTTGTAGGAATTTTTTGGATTGACTATTATAAAACGTTTAGCTGCATGTCATCTGTGAACTACTGGATCCATTTTTCTCATATTAACTTTATATACAAGTTCCAAACCAAAATTGAAGTTTCAAATTTTCCACGAAATTCTGATGATTATTTGAAGTTTTCTTTTCTTTTCTGAAAAAATACTTATGTTGTTGACACACAATGTGTTGACGTGTAAGTGATGGTACATTTCTGCCACGTGTTTTCTCAGCAAAATAGTTAGGGATAGTGCCAAGGGTTTAAAGTAAACTGATACAGGAGTTCAAGGTTAAAACCAAACTTCTACAACAGCAGATATTTTCTTTTAATACCCCCAATGTTTGTTTTTTATTTGGAGGAAAAGAGCTCTTATTTATTTTGCCTTTAACATTTCCAGGTACGCTATTTATCATATCTTGAACCTCATAATGGGGTGATATGGGACAATGTCGACTTCCAGCACGTCAATTTGAAGAATGTAGAGATGTATAACTTCATGGGAAGAGATAATGAGATAGGCTTGGCGAGGCTACTGTTATGCAGGGCTCCTAATCTGAGATGTTTATCCTTCAACCAAGCACGTCTGGAGGAAGGTGATGATCACCAGCTGGTACCCCCTACCTGGCCCATGGCTGAAACTTTTTCCCCAAGAGACATCCAGTTCGTTCTCTCTAAGTTACTGGAGAGTGTTTCTTTCAGTGCGCGTGTAGTATTCATCTGATAAGGCACTTTCCGCAGTCCATATTTGTGCAGCGCGTGACATGTGACATTGCACGATTAATGGCAGCAACATTTGATAAATATTTTCTTGGTTTCTCAGAATCATGCAGATGTGCTTCTCACAATTTGTAATTTGAGTATAAATGGTTGTGCTTCGCGCTTCGCGGGTTCATCACTCCGATCATGAATGTAAGGTAGAAGCAGAGTCTGTCATTGAGGCAAGTGATCCAAGGGTTCGCAGTTTGAAGCCAAACTACATCAAATTGAATTCATTTATGGTATGTGTGTGTTTTTCGCATCTGCTATTCCTCAGGCAACTGGGATCTTTTTTTTTGGTCAATCAACTCCCGCATGAGTGTGTCCATGCTGCCAGCTTTTTGGTGTTCCGCTCAAAAGGGAAAAAAGGAGAACTCTTTGGTGTGTGCGTGAGCTACCTGCCAACTTGTAGCTGTAGTGCACTCATGGTTGTAGTCTATAGTGATAGTGTCGACTGTTGTTGCTTTGGTTGTGTGTGATAAGTCTGCTGATCACATGTTCCCACTTTGAGATATTTCTATAATAATTTCATTTTGGAATTTACGTCAACTTAATTAGTCAGTTTGGTATTTACCAACTCTAGAAAAAAAAGTTTGAAATTTACCAAAATCACTGATAGATATTGAAACCAAATTGTATTTATTTCATATCAGACTTGACAATGTATCAATACTGACTAGCCCCCACTCGCGATGGTTGTAAATGAGCATGTCCACCGGTATTTAGCGCAACTTTGAACTACTTCTACACTGCAAATTCATAAAAGCTCTAGTTTTGTCTTACGTCAAAATTCTTTTTAAGTTTGACTGATCTGTAGAAAAATATGCTAATGTATATGACGTAAGATATATAGCAGGAAGACATATTTCATAGACTCAGACAAACATACGACGGGCCTAGCCTGTTATTGGTCAGTGGCGGAGCGTAAGGACTATGGCCGGCCAAGCCCAACTAGATCATGAGAGAAAACATTGTACTCTTCTTTAGTCAAACCATACTTCAGTTGTTTTGTACCTTTGGTGAACGTTTATAAGAGATCCTGATGTTTTTTCGCAAAAGAAAAAGAAGAAGAGTAAGAGACGAATTAGTTTACGAGAACATGTCAGCCAGCCGCATGTTTATGTTCGGAGGTGGGCTAATTTTGTAGATACTTGATTACCGCGAGTAGGCCACTGCTATAATGTAGATCTGGCGAACATAATTTATCATTTTTTCCCTCTCCAGATCCTTTTGTTCGCCAGATCCAATTTTCTTGCTCTCCTCCCGATCCATTTTTTTCCTCTCTAGATCTTTTTTAGTTCGAGATTTTTTCACGCAAAAACTGTTGTGAACAAGAGAGGATTCGATCCTTGCACCACTAGTGAGGATGGGGTGGGGCAAGTCGCTGAAACATGCCACGGTAACTTCTGTGCAAATAACATGATAACTCATACATGATAGACCTGATAACTTTGTCGGAGGGGTCGGGGTGGGGGTGTCGAAACGTACGACGGTAACTTCTATGCAAATAACATGATAACTCACACATCGTAAACACGATAAATTATGTACCAGTCCTGGTAACTTTGTCGGAGGGGCCGGAGTGGGGGAGTCGATGAAACATATCACGATAACTTCTATGCAAATAATATGATAACTCACACATCATAGACATTAAATTATGTACCAAGTACTGGTAACTTTGTCGGTGGGATTGGGGTTGGGGGGGGAGTCATTGAAACATACCACGGTAACTTCTATGCAAATAACATGATAAGTCACACATCATAGAAATGACAAATTATGTACCCAATCCTGATAACTTTATCGACGGGGGTAGGGTGGGAGGAGTTGTTGAATCATACCACGATAACTCCTATGCAAATAACATGATAACTCACACATCGCAGACTTGATAATTTATGTACCCGACCCTGGTAAATGTGGCGACTGTGGCGAGGGGTGGGGTGGGGGGCAACCCCGGTAATTTATATGTAAATAGCTTGTTGATAGACACATAATAAGCTGATAACTCACATACAAACGCCATTATAATTTTTGACCTGAATTTTTTTTGTTGAAAAATATACACCCGGTAATTTCTATGTAAAAAGCATGATAATGTATACATCACAGATTTGATAACTAATATCTTACGTTTTAAACACCATGGTATCTTTCATCCAAGGGAAAAAAGTTTTTAAAATATTTTCATCGATAATTTATGTGTTAAATTACCATACTTCCTCATGCCTTAACCTTCTCGTACTGTAGTTATCAGCCTTATCATGGTATAGTTATCATGTTGCTCATACCATAGTTATCATGTTGGTCATGTCAAAGTTACCAAGCCAAACTTATTTTTTTTGATATGGCACAAATAAGAAAGGGTCAAATAACATTGTTTATCTACAATAGACAACAACAAAAGGTGGCTTAGTTGGTTATTAGGCTCAATAGGTATTGCATAGACCTAGGTTTGAATCCTCTTTCAAGCACTTTTATTTTATTTTCATATTATGCGGTGAAAACCCAGAAAAAACCGCTAGCGATTTACCACGGTTTTTGAGAGAAGGAAAAAAAATCAGTGAAAAGCCAGCCTGGGAAGATAGCGATTACGTAGGAACTAGTCGTGCGGACCTGGTCGTTAGCACAGTCCATTAGTTTATTCTTTCTCCCAAACTTCAATCAGATTGTCAGAATTAATTAAAACGAGAGCTGATTCAAAAACTGGTCCCAAAGGGTTGTGTGAAACATGTTTCTCAACGCCCCTGATACTGATAAAAGAATGTGGATTAACCGGAGTATATGCAAACTCCTGGTGGTCTCAGGGGAAAACGTTTGTATGTACAGGACATAGATAGAAATGTTTTTTTTAACAAAGACAAATACTAGAAATGTGATCCGCTCATCTTACGAAGCATCTGCCATACACCTTCTCATCTTCTCTCTTTAACGAACCGACTTTGCCGATCAAGCAAAGATAAATTTTTTTTTTGAAACGGAGGTAAAAAATTTGCCTCATCGATTAATTAAGAAGAAGAGAATTGTCCAATTAATTATGAAAAATCGGGCAAAAACCATTACAAACGTACCACAGACGAACTACTCACATGACATGAAACCCCATAACGACACATACACCCCTCCAAACTAACAACAACCAACCTCGACATTGCTACCACGCCAAGTGACCCAAGAAGAACACCTCGACACAAGGCATCATGCTCCTCCCAAACCACAAAGGCAACCTAGTCCAAGAGGACGAGCCGAGAGATCGGAGATCATCTATCAAGCAAGCACATTCGTCTTGCCTATGGCACCACTCTTGCCTTTGCCGACCTTCTTTGATTTGCCCCTTATTGGTGTCCCAGTTAAGAGGCAAGCAATTGACCTACCCAAACCAGGTCTAACAACCTCCACGCTGGCAAGCAAGTCACAAAGCTCCTTTGCAAAGAGAGCATTAGAATTTGGAGCAGGTGCCGACACACTTGACTCGATGGTCATGTCACTCACAGACACCACTTGCTCGATGGTCACAGGTGATGGAAGGGCAGCAACATCTAAAGCTCCATGCTCCAAGACGCTGAGTGATAGGCCATCTGACAATTGACAAGGCTCGACGGGGTGTGGTGAGGGCACCGGGGCCACCTCTGAAGCCTGGAGGGATCCCGATTTGAGCTGCTCCATCGGCAGAGGCGAAGCAGGTTCCCCACACAATATCTGGAGCTCGGGCATGATCTGCAGCACTCAAGACACAACCTCGACACATGCCTCACCCTCAAAGCCCGTCAACACAGAGGGCGTCGAACTGGACCCAGCACGAGGCGAGAAGCTACCGAAGAGCTCTGCATCCGCCTCATCCACGAAGCCAACCACAGACTCAACCATGGGAGCCGGTGCAACAGGGAACCTTTGCAGAGCAGCCTCCGCACGCTCTAAAAAGGTCCCAACACGCACTAACTAGCCCTACAAAGAGTCAGCGACCTCACGAAGCGGCTTAATTGCCTCCTCCATCTGTGCGGAAGACATGCAGCGAAGATCAGAGCCTAATAACTCCGCTTGCACTGCAAGAGCAGACTAGATCATCACATCCTTCGGGGTGGAAGTCGAAGCAATCAACGAGGAAGGCAATGAATCCTGACAAATAGTCTTCATGTTGCATAGTGCCTCATGGATCCCTGATGTTGGTGGAGACGCAACAACTGAAGCCCAAGAATGGGCTGGCGGCCGAGCAAAACATGAAGCATGCGGCGACAGTGCTGGCTTGCAGCCATCCCGTGCACGGTGTCCCGAGCGGAAGCATTGATTACACCGGATTGGACTCGTGCATCTGGCTGCCCGATGGCCTTTTGCGAAGCAACGAAAACATCTGTTTTTGAGCCATGCAGGTGGCCGGGGACATTGCTGAGGCATGAAAGCCAAAGATGGCGGAGGCTCCAAGCGCACACCGCGGGATTGGACGAGCTTCCAGCCTGCAGCCTCCTAGCAAAGATAATAGATCAAGAAACTTTGAAAGAATACCAAAAAGAGATAACACCGATTTAGAGCCCTTCGAAGTCCATGTGTGTGACTCTATTCTTTGCATCTTGATGGTTCTCTAGGTCTTCGCTGGAAAAACACAGAAGGCTAAACCTACATAAGGTATCTCAATGTGAAATCTCTCAAAGAATCGTGTGAGCCATCCATAAATGCAAGACCAAAACATAGGACGACCACGATGAGCCGCTCGGAGACGGGGATGTGGATGTGGACATGGATGGGGACAACAACTTTTTTTGAGGAGTGTGCCGGAAGAAAGAGGACGCAAGAAGGAAGAAGATGCAGAGAGACTTTCATGTGGGGTTACTTCGTTTGAGGAGTTATATTTAAGATATTGATTAGAGCATCTCCAGCCGTTCGGCCCCCCAGGGCGCCCAAAAAGAGTGGCCTAGGAGCGAGCCGGCGCTAGATCAGCCCCTGGGGTTCGTTTCTCCCCAGCCACGC